TAATAAAAAATTTAGAAAATTCAGATTGGGATATTGAAGCTCTCACAGGCCTTGGGATTAAAAACCCCATTTTCCTTAAAAAAAAACCCCCTTGAGTGTTTATGTTTATCTAATTTCAATCATATTAAAAAATTAAATTATAAACAAAAGGAAATAACTTCAATCATACAAATCACATTTTTTTTAATGCTATCTAACAACAATCACATTTTTTTCATAATAAAAAAAAATAATTCAAAAAAAGGACCATTAAAATAGGAAATAAAAAGATTATTTAGTAGCATTGAACAAACGACAATCACATCTTTCTTTTTGTGAGTGTTTATGTTTATTTAACTTCAATCATATTAAAAAATCAAATTATAAACAAAATGAGATAATTTCAATCATACAAATCACAATTTTTTTAATGCTATCTAACTTACAATATATTATTTCTCATTCAATAAGAAAATAATAATTGAAAAAAAAAGAACCATTAATAGTAGTAAATAAAAATATTTTATAGCCATTGAACAAACTACAATCACATTTTCTTTTTTTTGAGTTAACTTCAATCATATTTAAAAATAAAATTATAAACAAAATGAGATAACTTCAATCATACAAATTACAATTTTTTAATGCTATCTAATCATCATCATAAAATTAAAAAATCAAACACAAATTAAGCCAATTGATAATTAAAAAACACAATAATTTATTTTTCAAAAAACATTAGTGAGTTAAAAAAGATCAATTACAATTTTTTTTTGGTCAAAATACAATCTAATCATCATCAATAATGAGTATATTATGTGACCCTAATGAGTACAAACCATTTTATTTTTTCAAAAAACACAGTGAGTTAAAAATCAAATAACAAATTAAGTGAATTGATAGTTAAACAAACACAATATTTTTTTCAAAAAACACAGTGAGTTAAAAAAATCAATTACAATTTTTTTTCAAATACAATCTAATCATTATCATAATTCGTACTTTTAAAAATCCAATCAGAAAAAAATCAAATCAAATCACAATATTTTTTCATAAATTAATTGTAAAGAAAACCATTAAGCAAGTAAATAAAGATTAAATCATATTTAAAAAAAAGAACCATTGAACAAACTACAATCACATCACATTTTTTTCCCTAATTAAAAAAATAAATAAATAAAAAAAGAACCATTGACTAACTACTTATAATCACATTAAAAAAATAGAACCATTGAACTAACTACAATCACTTTTTTTCTTCGTAAGTGTTTATGTTTATCTAACTTCAATTCATATTAAAATAAAATTAAAATAGTATAAATAAAAAGATTACAATAAAGTAAAAAAAAAATCATTGAACTAAAACTACACAACTCATATCAAAAAAAGTAGCCCAATTGTAACCAAACTACATTCACATCACATTACAATCACATTTTCTATCTGTGTTATATGTTTATTTAACTTCAATCATATTAAAAATAAAATTAAAATGAGTAAATAAAAAAGATTTAAATAACATTAAAAAAATCATTGAACTACTACAACAATCCATATTTAAAAAAGAGCCAATTGAACAACTACAATCACATCACATTTTTCCCCCATAATAAAATAAATAAATGAAATAAAAACAAGAACTATTAATACTAACAACAATCACATTTAAAAAAAAAAAAAAAGAATCATTCAACTAATTATAATTCACATTTTCTCTGTTGTGGAAGATTTTATTATTTACTAACTTCATCATATTAAAAATCAATTATAATTTTTTATTTCGCTTAGCAAAATCAACAAATATTTTTATGCGCTACTAACTATAATATTAAAAAGAGTAAACAAAAGGAAAAGTCAAGAAGGAGAAAACAAAAAGAAGACTTACTGTTTGCATACGTGGTCACTAAAGTTGAAAGTTAGAAGTGAGAGTCAAGAGGAGAAAACAAAAAGGAGACTCACTGTTTGCATAAGTATGTAAAAGTTAAAAGAGTGTGTGTGTTGGAGAAGTTAAAAAAAATTTGGAAGAATTTATAAAATTGCTAAGTTTTTTTTTTCAAAAAAAAATCAAAAAAATTAAAGAAATTAAGTTCCAATATTTGGAACTCTCACAAATATTGTAGTGTTAGAGATAGATATAAATAAAAGATAGACTATTATATTTGTTAATATTTTTTTTTTTATATATTTATTTTTTAATATACAAATTATTTGTTTTGGAAGAAGTTACTGCAGCAATTATGAGAGAAGACAAAAGTCTTGTGGTTTGAGAAAAGTTAATAAATGCTGAGGTTGTATTTTTTTTTTTAAAAAAACAAAAAATTAGAAAATTAAGATTAGTATATTAGAGCTTTCACAAGCCTTTGGGAGTTAAAAATCCTTCTTGCTTAATTATAAGTATAGAAAGCAAAACAGTTGTAATCAATTGGACACATGCCATTTATATACATATTATCACATAAAAAAGAATACTAAAGAGGTTGTAAATTAATTGGCACCAAATCGAATAAAAATCAAATTCATGGTCAAATATCGTGCCAAATAAATAAATCAAAATGACACAAGGACATAAAAGTACATGAACGATTAGCTGTTCATAGTTGTTATTTTATTAATTTAAAATAAATTATAAATTTTATTACATTCTTCATTCATTACCATAGCGGTAACTCGTGCGATACACGGAAAAATAGACTATTATATATTTTGTGTGACTAAATAAATATCTTAATCTTAAATTATATCTTAATATAGCGAACAAGTCTAATTATTAAGCCATCTAGGTAGATTGTTAACAATAATTAACCCACAAAATTTTACAATAAATTTGAATAAGCATAAGAAATATATTAAGTTATAAAAATTGTGAGAATAATATACCACAATTCACTGATACAACTATACTATAATATATTAAATTTACTTGACTTTTTAAATTCAGTGCTGTATTTTATCATTGTGGGATCCAAATTATGGATAAAATTTATCAACTTTTAATTATAATATTATTAAGTAATTTTTAAAAAAATTTAATCCAGGTTTGTTGCCTTGCTTATAAAAAAATTTCTCAAACAAACATGATCAGATTTATTTATCACTCTCTATCTTGATTTCCTCTATTCAAGTACACACTCATATCATATCAAAAGCTATAAATCATTCTGCCAATAGTTTGAATAACTTGCATAGTTATCCTATGTCATTTTTAAAAAAAATTAATCAAGATTAAGAATGTCATTAGTATTATAAAAATTATATAGAGAATTATTAAATCCATTTTATTTATAAAAAATGATAAAAAAAAATTATTTGAATTGTATTTGAAAAAATGATAACAAAATGATAGCTAATCACTATGTTACCCAAAAAAAAATCATATCGGTTACTCAACGAAAAAATATCAAATACAAATAGAGTCATGAACATTGAATTAAATCATATGAGCTCTAAATTGATAGTATAATCTAGCAAATCAACTAATAATAACATAGAGATATTGACAAATATGTAGTACTTCCCTATCATCTTTGTATTATATTCATTAATTTCATATATTATATAAAAGCTTTATTCTGCCCGATCCTTCAATAAAATAAGGATCAAGAAAACAAATTTGCTAAGAAATTGATTCTAAACTTAATTATTAAAAAAACAAAAATTTTAAAGAGAGAATTTAGAGATGGGATTGAAGAAATACTATAACGAATGATAGCCTTATAAAAAAATTAAAAAAAAAAAACATAACAATGATCTAATGCAAATTATTTTTAATAACTAATAGAAAGAATCTCAAATTATTACCTTTTATAAATATAGTGAAGAAAATTAATTTTGTGAGATTTTTGTGCTACCTTCTCCCATGTAGCCTTTATTATTTCATTATTAATACTATTATCCTTCAAAGCGATAATTTTTTTTTTAATAATCTTTATCATTTAGTAGATAATAATGAATAATAAAAATTGTCAAGAGAAGGTTAAGAATTTAATAGGAGATAAGAAGTTATAGATAAAAGCATTACATAAGATAAAAAATTTAAAATAAAAAAAGATAATATGTGATAGGAGAAAAAAAAATGAGTAAATCAAAATAAAGTTTTAGATATATATGTTTTTGATAGATATATAGATTAACAAATCATATCTTTATCTAAATTTTATTATTTTAATTTTTTGAAAATCAATTATTTAATCTTTATCTTTATCTGTAGGCCACGAAATTAATCTTTATAAATTATTTATCAATTTTTATATGTTTATTTATCTATAAGTCATGAAATTATTATTTTTAAATAATTTTTAAAATTTTTATCTTTATCTATAGGTCATGAAATAAATTTTCATAAACTATTTATGAATTTTATATGTTTATCTATAATGAAATTAATTAAAGTACGAAATGAGGGGGGAAAAAAAGAGAGTAGTTTAGTTTTTTTTAAAAAAAAAAAAAAATCAATTATTTAATCTTTATCTTTATTTGTAGGCCATGAAATTAATTTTTATAAGTTATTTATCAACTTTTATTTGTTTATTTATGGGAAGAAATCTTAAATCATCTATAAGTTATGAAATTAATTTTTTTAAATTAATTGTTTATTTTTTATCTTTATCTGTAGATTATAAAATTAATTTTCAGTTTTTATATGTCTATCTATATGGAGGAAATTTGAAATTCAAATCTTTATCCGTAAGTAATGAAATTAATTTTAATTTTAATTTTAATTAATCAAACAAATAAAAAATGAAGAAAAATAGAAAACATGAAAGGCAATCAAAGAAAGTTGCCACATAGGAAAGAGAGTGTTTTAAAATTATGAGAATTTAAAAATAAATATTTGGAGACTTTTGAAAAAACAACTACATTTGATTATATATATAAGTATAGATAGATTAGATATGTAATGAAAATCTTCCATTATATCCATTGAATGAATAGGATCAAAGTCCATTGAGCCACAATTTCTTCTCCCTATAACTTTCATTTATTTCACGCCAAAAAAAAGGCAATAAATAATTCATGGCTTTTTCAGTACGTGTAGACACCAATAAAATCAACAGAACGAGAGCCAACAAACAATGCACCATTATGCTCTAGCACCACACTAACTGTGTTGTTGTATTGTGCGGCAAAAGATACATTCGCCAGCACTGTTCCAAATTGATTGATCTTTAAACCTTGAGGCATTACAATCGGTGTTGGTTGTTGATTGCCCAATACCCTTACTGGAACCCAAAAATCTCCGAATAGGTTCCTTCTGATTTTAGTCAGATTTCCAGGAAGGTTTAAAAGAATCCCCGAGGTACCACCATTAAAGCCTCTGAGCCAATACTTTTGAATCCTATTCCCAGTGTACTCTGAAACGAGCATGAATGATCCATCGATACTCACTGATACCCCACTAGGCATTGCAAGCCCTCTTAGCAACACGGTGACCTGCCTCGTCAGAGGCTCATATCTCATTAACCTTCCTGTTGAATCGCTTATTATGCCTGGCTGCGTTACATTTCTGCATGAACATATATGCTTTAGGAATTCAGTTTCGATAACAATGAAAACGAATAAGTTTACGTGATGAAGCACCTCGTGTGTGTGTTCTGTGCACTTTAAATGCGGTTTGAAATGAAAATGATAAAAAAGGAACTTGCCTTAGCTCGAGTGTTTCACTGGAGTCTGTGAAATAAACAGTTTCAGTGAGTAAGTCGACATCCACAGCATTAAGGAAGCGAAAAGGCACGCCTTCTGCGCTAGTGGCGAGTTGGGTTGCAAGTCCTCCATTAGGTCCAACACTACAGGAAATGACAGGATTAGCGACCAAAATATTGGTCGCCAAAAGTCCCATTTTTGGTCACCGAATCTGATTAGCGACTAATTTTTTTTGTCACCAAGTCAGTTGCCTATATTCTGTCGGTGATAGTATTGGCGACTAAACAATTTTTGGTCACTGAAAGTTAAACATTTGGCTACTAAACTTTGGTTAGTCGGGAAAGGTGATCTTTTGGTGACTAAATTATTGGTCGCCGAAATTGAACTTTTGGCTACTAAACTTTGGTTAGTCGGCAAAGGTATCTTTTGGCGACTAAAATATTAGTCGCCGAAAGTTCTCACATAAACTAAATTAAACTATTAGAGACTAAAATTTTAGTCGCTAATAGAATACGTACATTTAACAACCAAACACTTTAGTCGCCAAAGGATGTTATGTTTTTAGTGACTAAAATATTTAGTCGGCAATTAAACTTCTCTCATTCTGATTTGTTTTAGCTACTATGTGATTTGGTCGCAAAAAGCCATTTGGTTATTTTTTGCTACTAAATTATTGGTCACAGAAACATTTGCTTACATTTTTTACTACCAACATATTTAGTCACCAAATACTATATTAATTTTTTTTTTTTTTAAATTTCTGAACCACCTGTATCCATTATTAGTGCAACATGTACCCTGTATAAACAATATAATCCATTAATACTGAATAAATTATCAACCATTCAACAACGTGTACACATTTCACTTCCAACCATCCAAAAAATTTATATTCAACGTCCAATTCTACATGCTATACAAATTCATACGAACCAAGTATAATCCAACCCCAATAATTTAATTTCATACATAATAGAGGATTAACCAAATTTAATATCCAAAAGGCAATCTATACCACACCAAAAATTTATTCTGTACTGCCCTAAAAACTAATTTGTATCACATCCAATGCTAATTTCTATCAAGTCAAATTTTGGATATTTACCACCCCAAAAAACTAATTTGCAATAACCACTATATATACAGACGGAGATATAAAAACAATGCCCTTCCGTATTTGTCAAAAAAAGCCATATCCACATTTGTACATCAAAAACCATCTGCAAAAAGGCAAAAAAAAATAATATTAATCATTAGTATTGACTAAATATTGGCCAATTTAAAATTATAAAGAAAAACATATAAATTTTTATTAGAATGAGCAGTGTACCTATCAATTCCAGAATTCTCTAGCCCACTATTCTATAAACCATGAGCAGTGTTTACCCATCATATGAAATTTCCATGCAATTCAAAACATATTTATCATTCACACACACTGCAGTAAACGAATTTCTCCACTTCATCGACTTTGCTTTAACTATATTAGCAACGTTCATAAATGGTCGATTCATGATAACAATGGCCACTTTACCTGTTACCTAGGCATAATTTTCCACAATGTGATTCAATAATACCACATCATCCTTGTTCATCTTGCACCTCTATTCTCCTCTTCTTCAATGTGCAAGCAACCATGTGATTATGTGAGGCAGGCTTCACTACAAATACCATTCATGTGAAAACAAGCAATGAGTAACCATTTGGAAACTTATATACTTACAGGTATGATATTCCCCTAAAATTTATTTGATAGGTATGCTTACAGGATTTTAACGTAAGAGGGTAAACATATATTCTAACAAAAATTTTAAGAAGAAAGTATAAACTACAATATCAATTTCTATGGACATAAAATATGAAAATAGCATAAATATATATATATATATATATATAAACAATCTATTGACACTAATTGTGAGAAACCAAATTTTGTTGTTATATCATCTCAAAATTATTTAACTTTATTACTTTGAACCCCTTTTCATAGGTAGAAAGGTGTAGATCATACAATCATTTTTTTCTCCAAACTTTGAGATGGTGAATTTGTATAATTTAAAAATAATTAATAGTCAAAACTAATATGTAAACAAAAGGTTTATTTATCAGATTAATAGTCAATACTAATATGTAAACAAAAATAATTAAAAATTAAGATCAAGGCCAGATTAATAAAAGCATGTGAAAAACAATTTAAAGATAATTTGTAGAAAATAAACAGAGTCCTACTTCGCATAGCCACCTTGGGCTGTCTACAGCAAACTGCATACCGAGGGATAAAATAAATCCAGGGACACTCGCAATATAGAGAATTGTCCTCCACCTGAAAACATGATACATTTAAACTCTGGCTGAACGTGATATACCACCTACCTTCTAGATGACTAGAATAGATGCAGAACATGAATGAAACAGGATCAATCCTGACAGTACTTCATATGCTTCATAATTTATTAATCACTCTTCTATTCTTCATATAACAGATATCAAAAATCACAAATATTGCATGCTGACTGAATCACAAATTGTGAAATTCCAAAATTATCAAAATAACAAAAGAATATAACATGTGCTTCCCTTTTCTTTATTCGAACAAGCATCGCAATTCACTCCCAATAGTTCATTCTCAAATTTACAATTTCTATTTCCCAATCCAATCTTATTTCCGCATGTCCTGTTATGTTTAACCTAAACTACCTAATTTCCTTCTATCTAGAGGAACAATAAATCAACGCAAGCATAAATAATGCATTACTACTTAATTTAAATAGAGCAAGAAAGATGGATATAGCCATTTCAATATATCAGATCAAAATATCATTGAGCAAAATCATTGATTTTTGGAATCCACTCCTCGGAGCTCAAGCATTCACAATGAAACAAAAGAAAAAGCCTCACCAGTGGGGATCATTTTCTGAAGGACTTCCTAAAATGAGTGATGCAATAATTCCAAGGCATGTGCCAATTTGACACAGGGTCCCAAGAGAACCCCTATACTTTGTTGGAGCAACCTACAAAATAATCATTAGGAAACAGATGAATAAAAACAAGTACACTTTTTTTTTTTTTTTCCCCAGCCAACTTAACTTCCACAATGATAAAGAGATAAAAACAAGTACAGAAAATCAAATTACCAGTTTCAACACAAATTGTTATTGGAATGCACCCAATCTACCTCGGATGTTAGTCAACCTCTTTGAAAATTAAATTACAACTTCATAATACTACGGAAAACCCTTCATGAGGGTGGAATGGAAAGTATAGCTTAGTAGTATGTTTGCCTTGATCAAGGGCAAACCATCAACATTTAGCAAAACATCATACACTCGAATTTCAGCATCTGAGGAGACTTCTCTGTAATTTCTCTTTAATAATGTTGTTTCAAGGACATTGTTAACATGCATTAAATATGGTTCTTTCAAATACATTATTAACATTGATTACAGAAAATCTCAAGTAGTCACATATCTTTTTCCATTTTAGGGGACTTCCAAACATTTATCATCTAGTACATCCTAAACTTGACTTAAATCTACATAAATTTCCATCGTTTCCTTTACCATGCTGAGACAAGGTAAAACAAAGCTTACAATTACAACTAACATGAATGACAAAAAGAAACTAATATACCTTTTCCCCCCTGAAAATGGCAATTGATGATACTGTCATATAATTTCTAGAACATGTGACTATAAATAAATATAGTTTTAAACAAACCAAATTTGTGAATTCCGCCTCTTTAATACCAACTTAATAAATAAATTCAGCCTCTTTAAAAGAATAACTAAGAAAACAAAAGGTTTATTTATCTAGCCTTTGGAGAGTTCCAATTTGGCCTTGATCTTAATTTTTGACAATAACATTCATTGGAGAAGCTCCATTTTTTTTTTTCTTTATAAATCTCAAATATAATAGGAAAAATGGTCATTTTACAAAATATTTACAAATTAATAGAAAAGTTTATACCTCTAATAATTAAAGTTGGTAAAATTTACCACTATTTTGAAATTATTTTTGAAAACATACACTGATTTTCAAATTTTCCAATAAAATAAAATAAAGATGTAACAAAAAGTCAAAGCAATGGTAACCAAAATCAACCCCACAGATATAAAGAAATTACAACAGGTATTATAGGTAAAGTTGTAAAATTGTAAAAATATAAATGGTAATTATTTATCATGCTTGCACTTGCTCTAGGCACTTCACACGTTTTAGTAAATTCATACACAGCATCCTTTGTACTAAGCTAATAGCCGTTGGACATTTACCATTGCTTCAGAATATGTATAAATCTAAGGGGCAAAACAGGGGGAAAAAAAGCGAGCCTTCTATAGCAAAGCAATTCTTATAGATAGATAGATAGATAGATAGATAGATATATATAGAGAGAGAGACAGAGAGAGACAGAAAGACAAGCATACACGAGACGGAGCATCAATGGAGCAGAGTTCATCTCAACGATGAAGCCTCTGGATCTCGTGGCGGTGGCGGTGGATCTATGAAGATCGGCGGAGGAGGAGGCGGCGTGAAAAGAGCGGCGGTACTCACGATGACGATGGCGATAGTGATGGCGATGGCGATGGCGATGGCGATGGCGGAGGAGGAGGAGGTGCTCCGATTTCCGGCGAAGGCGAGGACAAGCGGCAGTGAGAGAGGGAGGGAAGAGGAGCAGCGGAGACGGAGAGGGACGCTAAAAATAGAGAGAGAGAGAGAGAGAGAGAGAGAGAGAGACGCTGATTATTTTAGGGTTTGGTTTGGTACAAAATATATATATATATATGTATCATTTTATGCAAATCACAACTAAATACCTAATGGTCGCCAATTAATTTTTGAAATCCATTCAAAATTTGAAAGGTCTCTGAAATATAGCATCTTTGGCGACTAAAATATGTTTTGGTCGCTAAAGATAAAAGTAATTATTTTTTTCATTCGGCTACTAAACAATTTTAGTAGCTAAAACTAACTATACGGCGACAAAAATATTCTTTTGTCGCTGAAAATATATTTTTGGCAACCAAATTTTTGGTCGCCAAAGATAAAAAATAATTTTTTACTATTAATTCGGCTACTAAACAATTTTAGTAGCTAAAACTAGCTCTACGGCTACTAAAATTTCTTTCAGTCACCAATTGTGATATTTTTAGCTACTAAAATTTTTTTAAGTCTCCAATTGTAATATTTTTAGCTACTAAATTTTTTTAAGTCGCCAATAATCAAATTCTGCGACTAAAAAAAAATTAGTAGCTAAATATTTAACTTTTGCCGACTAATATTATTTTTGGTAGCCAATTCCGTAACTTTTGGTGACTAAATTTTTTTTGGTCACGAAAAATGTATTTTCTTGTAGTGCAACCACTAAGAGGCCAAAATAAGCATCAGCAATGTAGAGATATCCTTTCAGGCTGAAGCTCAAAGCAAATGGTTTGCCACATATAGGTCCCAAATTTGGGTCAGTTGTACCATCACACAATTGCTGGTTCCTAAACAAGAAATCAAAGAAAGATGAGCAAGAAAAGTTTCCTACACCTAGGGTTGCACTGTAGTCATCCTGGTCGAGTGTGGGAGCTATCTAGAATAAACGTAATACTATCAATTAAGGATAATTATTCAGTAATTTCAGAGTATAGATGCGTGACACTTCATAATATTGTGATTGGTAGAAAAAATAGGTATGTGGGGTATTCTGTTGAGTGATTGAGAGACATGAGTGGACATAATAAATAATGATTAGTTAGGAGTACGGACATGTAGTATTTCGAAAATACACTACAAGAAATTGCACTTTTGGCGACTACTTTTGGCTACAACGTCAATTTTTCGTAGCTAAAAGTATATTTTTGGCGACACAGCAATCAATTTCGTTGGGAAAAGTAGACCTTTACCAACGCAATTTACTATCGTCGCTAAAAAAGCATAACACTGACTAGGCGCCAAAAATATTGGTTGGCGCCAAAATTTCATAAATTTTAGCCACGAGGCTTAATTTTTAGCAACACAATAAGCGTCGCTATTAATGTGCTTACTTTTGGCGACGACAAGTTGGCATGGGCAAAGAGTTAAACATTTAGCGATGATAATACTATTTGTCGGTAAAAGTTTTGGTAGTGAAATGAGGTGATCTAGTTATTTTTATTTTTATTATAATTTTTCAAAAAATTTTAAATATTCTAATTATTGAATTGTAAAATTAAAGTGATCATCGAATTATATCACAAAATAAACCCGTCAAACTCAAACATGTTCTTAAGTTGAGATGGCTAATTTAAGATAATCTAAACTTTTCCAAAGTGGTTAGATCATCAATTTCAATATATTTGGTTGTATTTTTAGAAACTTATTTCAAAATTTCTAAAAAATTAAAAAACATTTGGTGAAAAAATAAAATATACTTATTATTTTTGTATAATTTTATGTTTTGGGAGGTCATAAATTAATTTTTAAAATTTTAAAAATATATTTTTGATTTTTATTGTTCTCAAATTAATTTTAAGTTTTTCCAAAAAAAAAATCTTGTTGAAGGATGAATACTGACAAAGAACAACAAATGGAAGAGAACTGAAAAATATGAAGATAAGGAACCTGCAACCCATTGTGTTCATTGGATGTGAGAGCCAAAGAAGGCCTTAAACAGCATATATAGGCACATGAGGTAGTTCTCAAGCCCCCCATTTTTCATGATTAAGTTGAGTGAATAAATGAAGGTAGGAAAATGTGTACTAAGCAACAAGTATTTTCAAATTGGATAAACTATCAACAATAGCAACAGTAAGATCAGTTTTTTTTTTTTTTTAGGGGGGTTGTGAAAAAGCGAGTTAGGTACACCAAAAACATTAATAGTTATTAAACAATAAGATTAGATGCTTAGACAGGTAACTACACTTTCCAAATACATCATAAGTTATTCACAATAAAAATTATTCAATATTTCTATAGCAAATTCAAGTACTACTCCGTAGTAGTAGTAATTAGTTTAAATCATAAGTGAAAGGGAGATTTATGATCTGGAATTGGGCCGGACGGTTTGGGCCGAACAAGGGTTGGGCCGAGGCAGTACGGCCATGTCTTGGAAGATCCTGCTCGGTTAATGCAAGGCATGGTTCGACCGAGCTACATAGCTTCTTGGTATCGAAGCCTGTCAAATGGGTTGTCCGGCGCCCGAAAAGATAAGGTTGGACCGAGCTACATGTGTTTGCTCGGCAGTAAGGCCCACGGCAAACAAGCGTAGCTGTCCTGAGCTCGGCGATGCCGGGATATGCCCGAGCTCGGTCGAATCGGAGCGTAGCGAGCGGAGCGCTCTGGCCAACTATACAACACGGCCATCTACAGCCGAGATGATGCAGCCCGGCTGCCGAGCTCCCAAAAGAGTGGACTGGCAGTCGTGTTAGGTGATGTTCAGCAAGATTTGTGCTGACAAATGGAATAGTAGCACCACGTGTCGAGAGACGAATGAGAGTGGATTTGGCGCGCAGAAGGTATATAAGTAAGTCTGCGCCCCCCATGCTGGGCAGATGACATTTGGTGAGGTAAACACTAAGAGAAACTGAGTCCTCTCTCTCTCGATCCCTGTTTGTGTGTCTGACTTGATCGTCGGAGGGGTTTTCCGGCCACATACCGCTGGGTAGCTCATTGTTGTTGTGCACGCAGGTGATCGGATAAGATCGAAGCTCGAAAACAAGGAGTGCGGGCTCGCCTGGATATTTGCTCCCCGCACAATTGGCGTCGTCTGTGGAAAATCGACAGACAAAACCTTGTCTTCCAGGCTCACCTGATCGCCATCCATGGCGAACATCGAGGAGATTCCACTGTCCGCCGTCGACGGAGTTACCCCGGAGTCGGGCAGACGGAGAGAAAGACATCCCACCATCATTCCTCCGATGGCGGACCTGGAGATTTCTCCAGGAGGACATTCAAGAGATGCGCGGGATAAGCGCGGAAGAAGTTATGGTCATTCACGGAGTCCAGACGGCCATCGGCGGCGGAGAGAATCACATGCCAGAGGTCTGGAACACAAGTTAAGGGACCAGGACGCCGTCATCCGTCGAATGGCGGTGGAGATAGGGGAACTGAAGCGGCATGTCAAAGGAAAGGGTGTAGCAGGAGAGGGAGACCACAGTGAGCGCACCCAACCCCGCCGTTCAAGCAGTCAGAGCCAGCGACGTACACCGTCCATCTCAATCACCAGAAGTTACAAGGTTGGAGACTCCGACGCGCACGAAAAGAAATCCAGGGCGCAAGATAGTACCTACCGACCCTCACGTCTGGCGACGACGTCAAGGTATTCTTATTCTACTCATTCAGAAGATTTGCGGGCAGTTTTGAAGGAGCGGGCTCGCCGGCGGGAGGCTCAAAGGGTGCCGGCGTTCCAGCGACTATCCTATGGGGTTTACGCCAGCGAGGAGGTCGGAATGCCTCTACCCCTCCCAGCCGCGCCTCTCCTTGTAGATACAAACTTGGCAAGGCTGAGTGCCACCCCATTCTCCGTGGATATTAAGACCGCACCGCTTCCGGCGGGCTTCCACCAGCCAAAGTTCACACTCTATGACGGAAAAATCGACCCGTATATGCATGTAAGTCATTTCTGACAGGTCATGGCCGGACATAGGCGGAATGACGCTCTTATGTGCTTGATCTTCCCTTCGAGTTTGGGCGAGCTGGGTTTGAAATGGTTCGAGAGGCTACCGGAGGGGAGCATTGAAAGGTGGCAGCAGTTGGTCGAAGCCTTTGTGACGCACTTCAAGACCAACACCAAAACACCAAAGGAAGTTGATCACCTCCTGAGTGTCAAGATGGAACCGAGCGACACGCTGAAGGCATACAACTCCAAATATTGGGAGACCTTTAACGAGATTTTAGATTACCCGACCAACCTTGCAATCACACAATACAAGCGAGGTCTCCCGGTCGGACATAGACTGCGGGACTCGCTTGCCATGCACCAGCCAACATCCATGGGACAGCTAATGTAGCATATCAATGAGCACATTCGAGTGGAGGATGTTGCGTTAGCATCTATCGTGAAGGCAACTCCGGTAGCAACAGACAAGTGGTCAGCTGGCAAAGTGCACGCGGTCGGGCAGGAGGCCGGCCGATCCAGCGATCGCGCTGAGGACTCAGACCGTGGTAGTAATCGCAAAAACCGCGATAGGGGACGTCGGAATGATCGGGATGACTACCCCCGGGATGACGTAGCCGATGCTAACAGAAGGTTGAAAGCAAGGACAGGCATCACCACGGTCTTTAAGATTCCAATCTATCGCATACTTAGTGAAATCCGTGATGAGGAGTATGTCCGGTTTCCTGCTAAATTAGGCGACGGACAGAAGGGCTTCAATCTGCGGTACCGTTGCACGTTTCACCGGGAGCGAGGCCATCGGACAGAGGATTGTTTGCCTTTGAGGCAACACTTGGAAGAGCTAGTCGCAGCCGGACACCTGGACCTTTACATTGATAGCGGCGTGAAGGCCAACCAAGCTCCGGTTGATCCGCGGGGACCGGATGACCGAGATGCGCCTCCACAAGGGGTGGTTAACGTCATCCACGGCATAGTGGAACCGGCGCGTGTATGCGAGCTCTGAGGTATGATCAAGAAGGCAGAACACATGAGAGAAGTTGTGTCGGTTCAGCCTGCGATCAAAAGGGGGAAGACCGAAGAGAAAGAAGTGATGAGTTTCTCTTCAAGAGACTTAGAGCGCATCCAGACGCCACACAACGATGCCCTGGTGGTTACACTCCGCGTCAAAGAATTTGATGTCAAACGGATCTTGATCGATCAGGGAAGCTCGGTCGAGATCATGCACTACGACGTTTTCAAATAGCTCAAGTTCCAGGATACGGATTTGGCCCCGGCAACTTCGCCACTGGTTGGCTTCAACTCACAACCGGAGTGGCCTTTGGGAAAGATTATCCTGCCGGTCAAAGCGGGATCCGTTGTCAAACAAGTGGAGTTCTGGGTGTTGCAAGTGCCATCCACTTATAATTTGATCCTTGGAAGGGGATGGCTTCACGTTATACAAGCCGTAGCGTCGACCTATCACCAGGTGATGAGATTCCCCTCGGTTATGGGGGCAATCGAGGAGATTTGGGGCGATCAAGTCATGTCGAAGCAATGCTTCGTGGCGGTCAATGGGAGCCGAGCTGCCAAAGGCTTCGTTCAAATGATTGGGGGACCAGGACACCGAGGAGTCCTTAACGATGTGGGCACCAAGGCCGAGGACAAAGCTGTCGAGGAATTGGTGCAAGTGCGCATCGATACAGAGCATCCGGACAGATTCTTCTTGCTCGGCTCAAGCCTTACAGCCCAAGAAAGGACCGACATTGTTGAATTTTTGATGGCCAATATCGAAGTCTTCGCATGGTCACCTTACGACATGCCCGGTCTCGATCCAAGTTTTATATGCCATCATCTCAATGTCTTCCCCGGAGCAAAGCCGGTCATTCAGCGCACAAGGAGATCGGCGTTGCATCACGCTGAGGTAGTTGCCGAGGAGGTGAAGAACTTGCTTGAAGCGTGAGCAATTCAGGAAGTGCACTACCCTCGGTGGATTTCAAACACGGTGGTGGTGCCCAAGAAGAATGGGAAGTGGCGAGTTTGCGTTGACTACAAAACCGTCAACCGAGCTTGTCCGAAAGACAGTTTCCCTCTGCCTAGAATAGACCAGCTTGTAGACTCGACGGCTAGGCATAACAGGCTCAGTTTCTTAGACGCCTACTGCGGCTACCATCAGATTGCCACGCATGGGCCCGACCGAGAGATCACCTCGTTTAGTACACCAAGGGGACTCTTCTGCTACCGAGTCATGCCTTTTGGTTTGAAGAACGCCGGGACAACTTTTCAAAGGATGGTGACCAAGATGTTTGCTCCGCTGTTGGGCCGGACAATGAAGGCTTATATTGATGATATGGTGGTTAAGAGTTGGCATCAAGCAGACCATTTGTCCGATTTGGCCGAGATGTTCGCCATCCTCAAAAAACACAAACTATGCCTGAATGCGTCCAAGTGTGCCTTCAGTGTGGGATCCGAAAATTTTTTGGGTTTTCTAATCACAAACCGAGGTATCGAAGCAGACCCTACAAAAATCCGAGCCGTGCAAGAATTGAAACAGCCTAGCTCGGCTAAGGATGTGCAGCATCTGGCCGGAATGGCCGCCGCGCTTAACCGATTTATAAGCCGGTCATCAGATCACTGCCGCCTGTAGACACCCCATTTTTGACCGACCTTAAGACTCAGACGTCACCGATTGAGCGCTTGGTGATGTTGCATAATGTGCTCATTCAGAAATCTCAGAGTCGCGGCCGTGAG